TTTTTTTTTTTGGTCAAGTGGTTGCACAAAATTAAATCATCTTGATACTGATACATTTTTAAGTAATTTATGGTCTATTTAATATATTTACGTATGTAAGAAGATGATCTTTAAAACATGCACCTGGATATGGATTGACACATTTCTTAGTTTTTATTTCCATTCTGGAAAAAACTTCTAAAATGACAGTTACGCTCAGCCAATAAGTCAACATAACATGAGTGAAAAATTTTCAACTCTCACATATGGTTCTCACATAATCCCTCTTCCATGTTCTAAAAGTATATCAAAAAAATAACCACTGCGAAATATCAAAACTATAAACAACATATTTACTCAGACAATTATCAACAAAAATGACCAAAAAAACAGTTTGGATGTGAAATGAGGTGCACGGTTTTTATGTCATGAGAGTTGTTGAGGGTGTAGTAAGAAAAAGACCTCGTTGGAGCTCCAGCTGCACCAGAGCAAGGCTTTTAGACGAGACTAAGGCCTCCTGTCAATCCTCTTACAATGTTCCTCAGTGAAAATGGATTAGCGAGTAACACCTACGTTTTGGCCCGCGGTCACTTTGGCGGATTGGATTGGACGAGAATGTGGCTGTCACCATCCTCATAATACAATGCACCAAATACATTTCTGTCAGTATTTTAATTTGTGTCTTTTTTGATGATTTTCCAACTGGGACTTTGACTTTTGGATTTATTTTTTTAACTTTGGATGTTTTTTGAAACCTGTCTTCCAAGATGAGTGTCGAGGAGCACGGTTCTTTGTTGTCATCCACATCCGCCCCTTGAACGCCGGGTTGTGAAAGGGGGTGGCTGCTTGGCGTAAGTAGCTCTCCAGGGTGCTGAAGTTGTCTCCAAACGGCTCCCCCACCTGTCACTTGGCAGCCTGGCGGTCCAAGCGCGATGACTCGGCTCCCCGGTCGCTCACTGAAAGCAGGTAAGGTTACGAGGACGCTGAGGTGACACCTGGACTGCAGAGCTGGCCTGATGACTTAATCGGAAAGCAAGGCGAGTCATTTTACTTACTCTTTGTCTGAAATGCCTTTCAAATGTCTGCATTCTTAAAACGTGCGCTTCTTTTCCAGATGACGATCCTGTAGTGTACCTAAAACATCACTACCTCTAATTCATAGCCAGGACAATGCAACATTTTCCGCCTCCATGGGAGCCCAATCATCCATTTGTGCCTACAGTTAAAAGCCGACATTCTTCACTGACGCCGGATTTTTATAACTTTCTCGTATTTGTCATCCTTGGATTGTTGCCGTTCCCTTGCTGCGTCCGCGGTTTGGTCTTCAAAGTGGGCGTCCTGGGGCCTTGGAATTGCGACCCGGTCTTCTACAGGACACAGCCGGCCGCCGCTGCAAGGCTCGCTGTAACCAGGATAAACGAAGACCTCAGTTTGAATTTGGACCTGAAGATGGATTTTGTCATTCTTCAGGAGCCTTGTGAGACTTCCAAAGCGCTGACTGAATTCATACACTATGAGAAGATGGCGGATGCATTTGTGGGGCCTACTAATCCGGGATACTGTACTGCAGCGTCACTGCTGGCAAAGAATTGGGACAAGTCCATCTTCTCCCACGGCTGTGTCAATTTTGAGCTGGACCGCATCACGGGCTACCCAACTTTTTCCAGGACGGTGCCGTTTCCCTCTGAGGTGCTTTTCACAGTGTTGAAGCACTTCCGGTGGGCGAACATCGTGGTGGTCTCCTCCAACGAAGACATCTGGATTGACACGGCGGAGAGAGTGGCTGCTGCCATAAGGAAAAAGGGGCTGTCCGTCGCCTTGGTTACGTCTGTGGGCATCAACGAGATCCAAGTTGAGAGCACGCTGAGGAAGATCCAAGAAGCAGGGGAGATAAGAGGTGAGGGGACTTATATCCAAGCAATTTTACGAAATAACATGACCCACTCGGATGTTTCTGTTATTAGGTCAGACCATGGGAAAAGCCTTTATTTACTGTGCAGGCAAGCTTTCCAGTATCATTTCACCCACCACTGTTAAGATCAAAGTATCTTAAAAACTGTAAAACAACCAGCGTGCGGTTCAATGATGAAAGCAAAGCACAATATAAAGATGTTCTTCGTCGCCTTACTCGTCACAGGTTTTTTTTTTCTCGTTCTTAAATGCCAAAAAAGTAGTTACCCACCTTGAACTTAACAAATGTAAACTAAGTTTTAACTCCAGTGGTAAATGATAGCTGAACATTTTTAGTCTGTTTAGGTGGAGGGAGCAGCTGTCCGAATACTTTTGTCGGTATTATATGATTTGACGTGGAATTTCACGTGTGTGTTCCAGTGATCGTCATGTGCATGCACTCTGTGTTGCTCGGAGGGGAGCAGCAGGCCACTTTCCTCGTCAAGGCACAACAAATGGGTCTGACTTCGGGCAAGTACGTTTTCGTGCCCTACGACGCCCTGCACTACAGTTTGCCCTACGACACCCCATTCTCTCCCCTGCAAAACAACAGCAGGCTGAGTGAGGCGTATGACGCCGTACTCACAATCACCATAGTCTCAGATCCCGTATCCTTCAACGAGGCGTACGCGGCAGCCAAAGAGAGCGGGGAAGTGAGGCTGAGTGCGGCCGCGGCGCAGGTAAGAAAGAGTTAACAGGAAGCATTTGGGTCTCGAGCCATGTTCTGCAACCGTTATTGAGCCAAGGCACTCACTAAAAAAAAAAACGCATTCAAGGTGGAGACCGGTGAAAGCGCGCTGACCAATTGTGATGCCTCTCACTATATGTCACTGCCATAGATAGATGAACAAAGATACAGCACATTATTTGGAGTAAATTAACATCTCTCACGGCTAATGTACCATGGCACATCACACGGTTGAGAGAAGAATATTCCAGACCGGGCTTTCTCAAACAGTGTGTGGTTTGCATTGCAGGTTAATCCACTATTCGGCACAATCTATAACGGCATTTACCTACTTGCCAAGTCCATCCACAAAATCCGGAGGGTTGGCATGCATCTGTCAGGCTCCAACCTGGCCCACTTCACCAAGAACATGTCCTTCAGTGGCTTCAACCAGAAGGTCCAGGTCAACAACGTGGGTGAAATCAAAACCGGCTACATCATCCTGGATACCAGCCACGCTGGCAGCCGGCTGTACCCGACCTACATCGTGGATCTAACATCCGGGCAGCTTCGGTTTGCTGGGAGGTCCATTCATTTTCCAGGAGGATCTCCTCCACCTTCTGATTCCAGCTGCTGGTTTGTCAAGAGTGCTCTCTGCGAACGAGGTGAGGGACTTCACACAAATGGTGGTTTGTTTTTTTTTTCTCCTCGACACGCCTCGCGATCCACTTAGGACCAGTCCGCGATCTACCGGTCGATCGCGATCGCGTCATGGGCACCCCTGTTGTACACCATAGCAAATGACTCTAATCAACATATTGTTAAAGAATTGCCTCTGTTGAGATAGATATTGATCTATCGATCGAGCTATGGAGTTGATTGAGCTACTCTATCACGAACCTGTTGTTATGCAGGCATGGAGGTCACCCACGTCATTGTGGTGTTTGCGGTCATCGTCGCTCTGGCTGTTACAGGCCTTGTCATCAGTCTGTACATCAGGTACAGATTCAGGCTTTCCATTGTTCGGATGAGTAGAATTTAATTGGCATGTTGCAGTGATGTCCGTATGTCACCGATTGACTTCCTCATCTTTTGTGGGTCTGACTTGACAGAAGGAGACTCCAGCAAATCCAGCTGGTCAAAGGCCCAAATCGGATCCTGCTGACCTTAGAGGATCTTACTTTCATCAACCCTCAGATTAGCAAGAGGGTGAGTGTTCATGTTGCATCCCACGCTCGGACTTTGGTTAGCAATTGCTCCATTAGCACATGAGTTACATTTCAGGATCACAAAATGGGAACACTGCTTGAAACATTCCAGAAAGTTTCCACGGGAGGTGTTTGAATGTTGCAAATATTCCGTTGTATTTTTTACTACTTTCTTCTGTGTTGTATGACATTTTCCATTTGATTTCATGCACAGAAGATCACTTTGGAGGACATGAGTGAGTCCAAAAGTGGCCTTGAAGAGAAATCTGTGGACCGCTCACATTCGGTGAACAGCATGCACACAGCGACTCACGAGACCACCAACGTTGCTGTTTTTGAGGTAAACTACTCTGAGAAAGGCATAATTTTAAAAAGAGCCTTATACATGAACTTTTACCCCCCAAATTAAAAAATTTAAAAAAATCACCTGATGCTCAGTGATAAATAACATTTCAATATTAACGGTACAGCATTTAACGTGACCTCTCCTCCAGGGTGACTGGGTGTGGCTAAAGAAATTTGAGGACGGACAGTTTAAGGAGGTGAACCAGAGCAGCACAAAGATGTTGACCAAGGTCAGTGCTATTAAGTCCATTGCACATTTTTCATTACAGTATTAGTATTATTATTATTTTTTTTTTTTTGTGTGTGGCGAGGCTGGAACGGATCAGAGGTCTTTCCATTCATTTCAATGATTTGAGATACGAGGCTTTTTAATTACGAATGTGATCACAAAATGAATGAAAGTCATATCTCAAGGCCCTACTGTATTGATTGACCTCACTAAATGGACCCGAGATTAGAGGTCTTTCCATTCATTTCAATGATTTGAGATACGAGGCTTTTTAATTACGAATGTGATCACAAAATGAATGAAAGTCATATCTCAAGGCCCTACTGTATTGATTGACCTCACTAAATGGACCCGACTCGAAAAAAAAACTGTTTTAGAGGGGATTCTTCCTCTGTACACATTTCATGAAACTCAGATTTGTAGTTTTTGCAACAAAAACAAAAAAAAAAAAAGAAAATCACACCTGCTGTCTATTGTGCCTTTCAGATGAAGGACTTGAGAAACGAGAACGTGAATCCCTTCCTGGGCTTCTTTACGGAGAGCTCCATGTTTGCGGTGGTGATCGAGCACTGCTCCAGGGGGAGTCTGCAAGACCTGCTTAGGAACGAAGACGTCAAATTAGACTGGATGTTCAAGTCCTCGCTTGTGCTTGACCTCATCAAGGTAAACGGCAAGCCTCCCGGGTGCCTGCTTTGCACGTCAGTGTTTCTGTAATGCATCAAAGAGGGCGTGTTGTGCTTCCAGGGAATGAAATACCTCCACCATAGGGATTTCCCACATGGCCGGCTAAAATCTCGGAACTGCGTGGTGGACGGGCGCTTTGTGCTCAAGATTACAGACTATGGCTTTAACGAGCTTCTCGAATCTCAAAAAGCTCCCATAGAGAAACCTCCACCTGAAGGTAGCATGTCTTCCTCCAACAGCACAACACAAGCGTTTGTAGCGAGAAGCTACCTATTGCATACCTCATTTCCCTCTGCTCCATTCAGATCTTTTTTGGACAGCTCCAGAATTCCTGAGGGATCTGGCAAGCTCCCGTAAAGGCACTTACAAGGGCGACGTGTACAGTTTTTCCATTATTCTCCAAGAGGTGGTGGTTCGAGGACCACCGTATTGCATGCTGGGCCTGCCACCCGAAGGTGTGTAAAGAAAAAGACATTTTTGCAATATTATCCATCTGTTCTCGAGAGCATTTGGGCTCTGGGTGAGCTGGAGCCTCCCCCAACTGACTTTCAGTGAGAGGCGGGGTACACCTTGGACTCACCGGGCACACCAACAACAAATCGCTCTTATTAAACTAAAATGCTAACATGTTCTTGCAATGTGTGACAAAGCAGCATTTCATGGAGAAAAACCCGGGGAGAAACTCCTCACAAAAAGGCTGAAGCCAAGACTCGAACTTCAAATCTCAGAACTATAAACCAGACACACTAACCTCCAGTGAGTGTGTACAATTTAGCTATTCATCTTTTTAGTCCACTTTTTGCCCTAAATTCAACGTATTGTGCTTAGTTAGTAAAAAAATAAGTAATGACAAAAACAAATAGATTTTACAATATTGAAAGGTTTGTATATCAAATTTTATTCTTTTGATGTTTGCTATGGTCACTATGGAACAGTATATTAAATACATATGGATATAAATCAAGAAGTCACAACTGCCAAGTAAGCTTCAGTCGTATTCGTTTTTTTTTTAGCTGTTGAGTTTTGTTTTAATGTCTGTCTCCATGTGATGCTCCACCATTTTTTGCAAATATCTTTTGCTTACAAAACTGGAACATTTTTGTTTTCCCATTTATGGCGCTTTGCATTTTGTGTTAGCATAAAGACGGAGGTCGTTTGTATTCGGCAAAGTATGTGGTTGTTTTAAATACAAAATGCATAATTCGCTTTATTCTATCATTAATTTGACTGTAGTGATTTGATCTACCGTGATTGGACTTATCACCCGCTAAAAAAATAAATTACCAATAATTTATTTTGTGGGCCACCATTTAATACCACTGTAGAGCCAATGAACATGTTCATTTATGTTAAGTTTAAGTTGTTTTGGGTGATGCATCTGAACAAGCAATCGCATTGCTCCTTTTGTATACCCGATACTTACATTTCTGTTCTCAGAGATTATTCGAAAGGTTAAGAAGCCTCCTCCAATGTGCCGGCCCACTGTCGTTCCCGACCAGGCTCCTTTGGAATGTATCCAATTGATGAAGCAGTGCTGGAGTGAACTTCCAGACCGAAGACCCGACTTCGATGAAATTTTTGACAGGGTTAGTTTGGGATTGGAGAAGTAGCGTGATCTTTCTCTTTGGTTGTATGTTTTTTTCCACATCATTGTTTCTCTTTGTCTTGCAGTTCAAGATCATCAACAAGGGTAAGAAGACCAACATCATTGACTCCATGTTGCGGATGTTGGAGCAGTACAGTTCCAATCTGGAGGACCTCATCCGAGAGCGAACGGAAGAGCTGGAGGTTGAGAAGCACAGGACGGAAAAACTGCTCTCCGAGATGCTGCCGCCGTCAGTTAACACACACCCAAAGGCAAAAAATACGCTTTCTAAAAATCGGCCTGATCATCCTCTGCGTCCATCAGCTCGGTGGCCGAGGCGCTGAAAACCGGCGCCACGGTGGAGCCGGAGTACTTCGACCAGGTGACCATCTACTTCAGCGACATCGTGGGCTTCACCACCATCTCGTCCCTCAGTGACCCCATCGAGGTGGTCGACCTTCTCAATGACCTTTACACCCTGTTTGACGCTGTGCTCAGCAACCACGACGTCTACAAGGTGAGACGGGCATGCACTCGCTGTACAAACACAGCAATTATGTGGTGAATTATATCCTAGCATATTTAGTGCAACCATGGTTCCGCCGTGCGTCACTGCGCTATCCAGGTGGAGACCATCGGTGACGCTTACATGGTGGCATCGGGCCTGCCCAAGAGAAACGGCAACAAGCACGCCGCCGAAGTCGCCAACATGTCTCTGAACATCCTCAGCTCAGTGGGAACCTTCCGGATGCGCCACATGCCCGACGTTCCTGTCAGAATACGGATCGGTATCCACTCAGGTAGGATTGGGTCAACATGGAATGACCAAAATACTTTCCTGATGCGCAAAATGTCCTTTTGTCCTGAGTATCGGACAATTCGGTGGAAAGAGAAACTACCAGCGGCAGACATTTGTCAAACTACAGCACCACGTCTGAAAATATTTTGTTCGATGCTGTGTAATTTAGATACTGTGCAGAAAATCCACCAAAAGTCTTGAAAGGTCAAATTTAGCGTTAGCATACAATGCATATTTGTGCCTTCCCAGGGCCTTGCGTCGCCGGAGTGGTGGGCCTGACCATGCCCCGCTACTGCCTGTTTGGAGACACTGTCAACACCGCCTCAAGAATGGAATCCACCGGCCTGCGTGAGTTTCCAGTGTGCTATTTTTACTGTCCTCTCCCTTATCATTCAACTCTCAATCGTCTTCTCTCAGCTTACAGGATCCACGTAAACTTGAGCACGGTGAACATCCTCCGCTCTCTCGAGGAAGGTTACAAAATAGAAGTCAGGGGCAAGACAGAGCTGAAGGTAACCTTGATCAGAAATATGATCAGTTAAGATCAGGATTTGAAATCTTGAAGAGAAATGATAAGGTGCTGTGTTTGCCGCGCATGCAGCCACGCGATCGGAATAAATCGTGCTCTTTATTACCAGGGGAAAGGCATTGAAGAGACGTACTGGCTCGTAGGGAAGTCTGACTTTGCAAAGCCTTTGCCAAAACCGCCAGAGATCAAACCAGGGTAAGACACCTTTCGCCATTATTTGCCTTCGTGCAGGGTTGCTTTGATGCACATGAGATCCATCTTAAACCCGCTTGTGCAAACTTGCCCAAATTGTGATCAGCGAAGACAATCACGGCCTGAGCCCCGAAGACATAGCAATGTACAAGAAAAAGAAGGCCGAGAAAAAGGCTTGACCTGCAGGTAGAGACCTCGCGTGCCAGCCGATGTTGTGTCCTGTGGAAAACGTTGGCATGCTGCTGATTTCCGAGTCTTGCTTTATGTTCTTTTCCTCCTTAATCTCTTGATTTGTTCAACTTCTACGCTGGTTTGCTTGCTACTGTGGTGTTTGTGTGCTCATTGAATTTCAATGCCTACGGTAATGTCTACTTGAGATTAATTCCAAGCTCTGTCTTTTGTCAAGGGTCAACTGGCAGGAGATGGTGACCGATGAGATCAAGACCCTTTTCCGCAAGGCCAACAGGCCAGTGGCGAAGCAAAGAAAGAGCGCAAAAGAAGGAAAGATGTGAAAGCAATGAAGCCATAGGGACAGATTCCTTCTGGGGAAAAGGAGGACGTGAAAGCGGCACCCGGCTTCTCTCCCCGTGGCTTAACACGGACTCCTTTAAGAGGATTCTCCATCGACTGGCTAATCTGCCCGGAGCCGACACAGCAGAACATGACGGTGCTAATGTAATGAGACTCCTCCCGTGACCTGCCTGTCTAACTGCTGCCGGTAGACCACGGACCGATCTTCAGTCAAAGATGCATGCACTCATTTACTTGCTGCACTCACTGGCCACTGGCCACTGAGTGCTCGTTGAATCGAGGCCAAAGCGGGGGATACCCTGGAGGCCCATTTTAAAAATACTGTACTTGTTTTCTCTGTGCTGCGTTTGATATGAATGCTGAGAATAGGGAACTTTATTTATATTCCACTCATATTGCACGTTGATTTGAATCACGGTTATAAACGCTTACTGTGTTTGTTCATTTTAATTTTGCGTAAGCCTACTGTAATATTAAGTGGAAATTGTCAAGATCGCTAAAAATGATCTGTGCATTGAGAGCTCTTAAAGTCCGTGTTATGTGATAGTAAATATCCATCCATCCATCCATTTTCTGAGCCGCTTTATCCACACAAGGGTCGCGGGGGGGCGGGGGCTGGACCCTATCCCAGCCGTCTTCGGGCGGTAGGCGGGGGACACCCTGAACCGGTTGCCAGCCAATCGCAGGGCACACAGGGACAAACAACCATCCGCGCTCACACTCACGCCTAGGGACAATTTGGAGTGTTCAATCAGCCTGCCACGCATGTTTTTGGAATGTGGGAGGAAACCGGAGCACCCGGAGAAAACCCACGCAGGCACGGGGAGAACATGCAAACTCCACACAGGAAGGCCTGAGCCGGGATTGAACCCACAATCTCTGCACTGTGAGGTCGACGCGCTAACCACTCCCCCACCGGGCCGCCATGAGAGTAAATAGGTCTTTGAAATTTGACACACCACAGAGGAGTCAATACAATGAAGTGTTCAACATATGGAATCCAGGGAAAAAAAATTCGGCAATAATTCAACGATCATTATGCTGTTTTCTTGACGACTTGGGGCAAGGTCTTCTCTCCCCCACCTGTCTCCATGTGTGCATGGTTTCCTCCCACGTTCCAAAAACACGCATGTTATGGTTAAGATCAATGAAAAAAAAAAAGAACCACTGTCCTAGTCACTCCGTTATATTTAATTTCTTACTCAAGGAAATAACCCCTGACAATGTTCATAATTATTCATTAAAAAAAAAAAAAAAACTCTCGGTTGTTAATGTTATTGTAAGTTAACATAATGCAGTAACGTGCTGTATGTGAACAAAAAGGTTTATGCAATTGTTTTGTTACATCGCCCAATTGTTCTGACATAGGGTGGAACCATTCTATTTTAGAGGATATTTTTTTCATATTTTTGTATTTGCTATTGTTGTGGACCGATGTTTACAAAACTCAAAACTTAAACCCATCTCATGTTATTGAAGAGACAGGACGCTACAAATTAGTTTTTTTGTGGTACCAGCATACAATAAGCCTCGAGAATGAGTACCTAGCAAACCGTGAGGACCCTGCACTCCAGTTTCAACCCAGCCACTCCTTTGTGCAGGTCCCCGCCCCCCAGACTTTTATTTTGTCTACCAATGGTTGAACAAGTCAAGCCTGACATTCTTGGGATAGTTGACTGCAGCAGATAAACCCCCGGGTCACATACCCCGTTAATCCCGAACATGGGAAACCCGCCCAATGGAAACATTGTGATGCCTTCTTTAGTGAAGCAAATCAAAAAAAAAAAAAAAAAGTACCAGTCACATGATTATCATTTTCTGAGTTTTATTGAAAAATGACAATTGTTCATAGTCACACCATTCCAACAGCATTTCAATGGACAGCAATAAACAGGTTGAGTGTTCTCGGCGTGGAAGCATAAGTTAAACTCCAAAATGTCATATGCAGACTTGGTTGTCCTATTCAGTGCACGCGGGAAGACAAATACGATTTTTTGGAAAGAACTGCCAAACAAGATCTTTAAACATTAAAGACAATGCACGAAAGCACCAAAGGATCATTGCTTGACCTATGCTGGCATTAAGCAGGCTGTGAGGAAGAGAGAGAGAAGTCACACTTAATATAAGCAAGAAAAATCTCAATGAGGCTCATATTTGGAGTATCTATTCAAATCAAGGGAGTGCGTTTTAAAAAGTTCCGATATTCAGTCCACAGTCTGCCTTAATGGAATGTGTTCCTGAGGTAACACTATCTTTAAAAGAAAAACAACACAGTTTTCTTGACCGTTCACAAAATAACACGACCCGCTGAAATTAACATTATAGCTCATCGCGCATCTTGTCTCCGTTAGGGCGAACCACACGGCCGATGTACAGGATGGACTTTGTCTTGTTGTCCTTCACCAGGAAAATGAAGGGGTGGTCCACGTAGAAAAGCTTTGGGTCCCTCAGCCTGTCGGTGCCAAAGATGGTGGTGTCAAACGGGTTGCCTTCCGTGTTCAGCTCCAGGGCGGACGCGTGGAAGAAGTCAGAGAGGTACAGGTCCTTCTTTCCAGAGATGTTGGACAGGTCCGCCTTGGCCTTGTCCACGGCCTCGGTCAGGCCCAGCTCAGCCAGATATTTCTACAGAGAAAGAAAGAGAAAGACACTCAATTGAGCATAAACCTAAAAGTTGTTCCTGTTGTTAAACATGACATTTGTTTTTATGGTGCCAATCTAGCTGTCAACAGTCAAACAAGTGACAGATAAGCCATTGGCTTCAGAACACTTTCATAAGCCATTTCCCCATTTTACCTGCAAGTTGTGGCTCACTTCCAACGAGACTTTTGGCAGCGAGATGGCCACGGCCCTATTCTCCATCTTGCTGAGCCAAGCTTCCACCTGCGTCTTCGTCAGCAATTTTTCCAGACGTGCCAGGGGCTCCAGATGGTAGGGCATGATGAGGATCATGGAGGCCTGCTTCTGGCCCAGAGGCATATCCAGAACATAGAGACTGTTCTGTTTGTCTTCATAGAAGTCGTACAGACCTGAGGAAGAGCGATCGGATTTATTGTCTTCAAAGTGCAACACCATATTTAAAAAAAAAAATAAAAAATTTTAATTGAGTGACCGTACCTGTGCGGTGCATCATGGGAACTGCAACGGTGAAGGAGCGAGTCACCAGGAAACCACGGTTGTCCACCATATTTGCATGGAACTTCTGATCCCAGTGAGCTGTAGGAGAAAACACAAGCCACTTTGAATTTAACCCTTCAAGAGTTTCCATCCTGAACTTCAGTGGCACTCGGTAGAGCGGAGCCCTCCAACCAGGCTTTATTATTGTTATTAATGGTAGTCGTAGTGGTAATATTATTATTAAAACATGGTGTGATGAAAAAAAAATGTTTGAGCAGCAGTTCTACTTGAAAAAGATTAAATGCGACATAAAAGTGACTGGAAATACAACTGAACTGCACTCAATAAATTGAAGTCTCGGCAACTTCATCACAGTTTGAAAATGTTTTCATTGATTCTTCACATCCCGCAAAAGGGAGCCTGTGCAGCGAGCTTTCGGAATCAATGCCCTCGAAAGGTTCACGTCTTTGTTGAGAGTCGCCCTCTGCAAACTCCTGCTCACAAGCACGACCTTGGCAGAGCGATTAAAATCAGCACGGTATACTCACGCTTGAAGAACATAGCATTGACGATCATGGCCCCGTCGGTGTTCACCACCTCCTTGGTGATCTCGGGCAGCTTGCCGCCGGTTGACTTGGCCGCCCACTCGTTGATGGAGTTCACGGCGCTCCTCTTGTCGCGGAAGTTTATTTTGGAATGGTCGTAGTTGTAGTGCTTCTTGCTGGTTTTCACAAAGTCTTCGGCAAAGGCCACCGAGCTGGGCCCGTATAGGCGGTTGTTGATCATCCATGTGGTGTTGCGCGTTTTGGCGTCACTCACCTGTGGATGAGCCACATGAGAAATGTTGTCGTAGGACGCAGACTTTCAGCATCGTGTCAGGTGCATTACGCGGACAAAAATTTGTGTGAGTTTGTCCACAATCTGCAGTTCCTTTTCAGTAGGAACTTTAGAGAATCACGTATGTGTGGATCCATTTGAGATGTGATTCATGTGGGAGTGGTCTCCAAGTGCCCGCTTCACGGTGCAGGTGTGCTTTCCCCAAATCGATTCTTAAATGTTTGACGTGAATGAGAGGAGGTGCCATAACTGAAGACGGCTGTGACCACTCCCACAGTGGCGCAGACCTCCCCTCCCTGCGAAATTACCAACATTGGGCCTAACCCGCCCCCACATAGTGATGCCAGCCACGAAAGTACGATTAATGTGTAATGGCAGTTTAAATGTTATTTAACTTAAATATTAACATTTGAGGCAGCACTGTGAATGGCGGTCAGCACATCCGTGTCACGCTTCTTAGGGGATCAGATCTTGGCTCCAGTGTTTCTGTGTGGAGTTCCTATGTTTCCCTGCTCCCTCCCACATTCCCAAAACACGTGTGGTACATTCAAGACTCTTAATTGTCAAGATGTAGGAATGTGGGTGTCAATGCTTGTGCCATGTGACTGAGAAAGTATACATCAAGACATCAAGTATTGCTAGTCCTACCTCGGAGAGAAGCTCAGAGAGGCCGGCGTGCAGATGCTCATCCTTGAGTTTGTCTGCGCGAAGCAGAGTTTTGGCCTGCGAGGCGGTGCTTGATTTCCCACCGAGGGCAACCATTCCGAGCGAGGAGGCCAGCACCACAGGCGAGATCAGGATGTTCTCGGTGTCTTTCGTCTTTGCCATGTTCTGGTAGAGGCTGCGGAGAAAAAGGAAAGAGGGATTGTTACTGGACGCCGATGAGTTAATTGGAAATGACTGTCGCATCCACTGACCTAAATGCCAGGTTGGCGCTGTTGTCGGCCAACGTGGAAGCATGGCTGCTCAGCTTTTTGTTCTCGGCGGAGGCTGCGAGAGCCAGCAGGCAAAGAGCTACGAGGTTGCTCACCCACATCCTGTTTGTTTGCGGCAGGAGCTGTAATAGCCTGCAAACAAACAGCAAGTTTAATGTCAATTTCGTGTGCATGTGACTCAAATCCTACGTCTTTAATTGCACGTTCCGAGTCTCGGTAAAGATCATCAGTGTTAAATGAGCAAGAGTGCTGGCGTCAGTCGAGGTCAGGAGGAGGAGGAGGCCTTCCATCGAGCAGGCGTATTGCTCGCCACGTCAGCAGCAGGCTCTGGAACTGCCGCCCACTCACACCAAGACGTAATCTGATCCCCCGCTCTCAGTTCTTATGTATGATGGTGCAAATTTGTTAGCAGAGTGCGTATATATATTTTTTTTCCTTCAAACTTTCGGTCTAATCACTCCCACCTGTCTATTTAATTTAATGACAGACATCTTTTAAAACTTTCTTTTCTCCATTGTGAATGGGACGCAGGATGTCTCCGTACTGGAGGATTTGGAATACTGCTGAAATCAGATGACATTACTTCCACATAACATTTT